CTTCTTGACCATTACCCAGATGTGTGAAGACATCACCAGACTTACAACCTTGCCAAAAGTCACATTCATTCACTCACTCACTCATTCCCCTGCTACTTTGTTTGGATGGAAAATGCCTTAAGCAACCATTCTAAAACACAGACCTCTCAAGGAATACAGTAGGTGGGAGCCTGGTTCTGTGGGCTCCTTGTGTCTGTGGCATCCTCTGTGTCTATGTGACTCTCGGTGTTTACTATTGTCTGTGGGCTCCTGTGTCTACCGAGTCATCTGTCCATGTGTTCTTCTGTGTCCGTGGGGTTGTCTGAGTCTGTTAAATCCTCTGTATCCTCAGGATCTCTGTGTCTGTGGGGACCCCACGTCTGTGGGTTCTGCATCCTCAAATTCTAACTAGTAGGGATCCAAAAATACTTGGAAAAATTGCATTTATACTGAACATGTACAGACATGGTTCTCTTCATCCCTTAGCAGTGCAGTCCAATGGCTGCACAGCAGACACAGTGTGTTAGCTAGGGGATGTGTGTAGGCTCCTTACTCCAGCATTGTCTGTAAAGGGCTTTATGTGAAGATGTCCATGGGGTTCCTGGGCCTGATGGCTCACAAGCACTGAGGGACCAGTGTAGAATGTTAACCATGTATGGAATTCTGAATTTCAATAGCTCCATTCACATGGAGAGCCAGAACTGTGTGTTTGCCTGCTGTGTGTGAAGCCTGGGTTCTGTCCCCAGTACTGAGACATAAAACAGATGAAAGGAGCTGGTGATTATAATCAATAATTACTCCTGTCAACCTAGGGTCATCTCAGTGTGTGACATGGAACCAGGAGTTGGTGACAGACCTTCTTTCTATGGTATAGAGTCCTAGCAGTTGGGATACTTATCTTCACATGTTCAAACCCTTTGTAGCCATTGATCCAATTCACAGAACTGTGTGGGTCCTCACAGGCTCACTGTTCAGTAGGGGGCATAGGAGTGACACCTTCCAGTGGAGGGCATTAGGGCAGGGCATGCAGGTGCTCCAGCTGCTGTAGCCAGAGCTAGCCCCTCTGAACTCAGCAGAGTCTGTGACAAGACCAAGGTAGAGGCTTCCACGGGAAGGGCTGTGGTCAGAGGTTTGCAGAAGGAGTCCGAGAGTGGGGGTGCTTGAGTGGGGGGCAGTTCTGGGCTAACCAGAGTTCTCCCTCTATGCCACTCAAACTCCTAAGTCAGCAGGAGGAGTGGGAACATGACCTTCCTACCAGGAGTCTGTGGGGTGATCTTGGGATGGGGTGGGTCTCCCCAGTCTACATATTCCAGAGTGGGAGGCTTAACCTCTCTTTCTGATGGGGGCCAGCTACCACATCCCATGCTCCCCTCACATGGCCTGGGTTCTGGGGAGGCAAGGATCATGTTTTTGGATAGCATTATTAAGGTATAATTCACACATCATACAATCTACTCATAAAAAACACGGTCTAGCTGGGGATGTAATTCAGATGGTAGAATGCTTCCTGCCTAGAGTGTTTGAGGACATGGGTTCAATTCTCAGCATGGTATGAAGTGGGCACCCCTGCCTGTAATTCCAGCACTTAAGAGGTAAAGGAGGGAGGATCAGGAGTTCAAGGTCACACTCCTATATAATGAGCTCCAGGCTAGTTTGGGCTACATGAGACCATGTCTCAAAAAGTAAACATAGGGCTGGAGAGATGGCTCAGAGGTTAAGAGCACTGACTGCTCTTCCGGGGATCCTGAGTTCAATTCCCAGCAACCACATGGTGACTCACAACCATCTGTAATGAGATCTGGTGCCCTCTTTTGGGGCTGAAGACATACATACAGGCAACCTAAAGCCGGGCATTGGTGGCGCACGCCTTTAATCCCAGCACTCGGGAGGCAGAGGCAGGAGATTTCTGTGAGTTCGAGGCCAGCCTGGTCTCCAGAGCGAGTGCCAGGATGGGCTCCAAAGCTACACAGAGAAACCCTGGTTCGAAAAACCAAAAAAAAAAAAAAAAAAAAAAAAAAAAAAAAAAAAAAAAAAAAAAAAAAAAAAAAAAAAAAAAACCCTAAATAATAAAACAAACAAATAAATAATAAAACATACCACCTAGAGGTGTTTAGTCTGGACAGATGTATGCAACCGTCACTTCTAGACCATCTCCACCTCCCCAGAGAGGAATAGTGCCTGAGCTCCTCTGCTTCTCTCTGTGCAGCCTTTTTGCCATCTCCCACTCTGGCTTCTTTTTCCTGTTCTGGGTGTTTACCTACATGAACTCACAGTGTGTCTGCTCAGAACAAGGCTCTGTGTTTCATCCACAGTTGCTGTGTCTCTACACCCCTAGTTGCCGGTGGTCTTCTAACTCATTTGTCCACTTGCCTGGGGTGGAGGCTCTAGTGTCCTGTGACACAGGAAGTTAGGAAAGTGTGGGGGCCAGTCCAGAACCAGGGGGCAGGGTCTGGACCCAGCCCCTCTGTGGGTGGATTTTTTTTTCCATGGAAATGGGTCCCCCTGCCAAGGTCTATTCATCCAAGTCCAGCAGGACCTTGCATACTTGGGAGAAGCCGGGTCTTAGCCACTGGCTCAGCTCAGCTGGAGCCTCCAAGAAAATCCCTTCCTGGTCTTCAGAGGCTCGGGGTGCAGAGGCCACAATAGTGGCAAGAGCCAGAACTTGGGGCCAGAACTTTGCAGAGGACACAGGTTCAGTTCCCAGCACTCACAACCGCCTATAACTCCAGTTGCAGGGGATTTGATGCTGTCTTTGTTATTGAATCAGGGGTTACAATCCTGTGTCCTGAGCCAGGTTTGGCCACCCACACTCAATAAGCCAATTGAAAAAGTCAAACCAATAGCGGAAAGCAGAGAAAGTGTATTCAATGTGGCCACACACTGGGAAGCAGGACAAAGAGAACCACAGAAGTTTGGCTTCAGGGTCCAAAGTGAAATTAAAATGTAAATAGAGGGTCAAGAATTTACATATCTAAGCATCCTGGTCAAGGTGTAGTCCAGCCTACTGAGGACCCATCTCAGTGGGGGCAAGTTGTCAGAACTGGTCTTTCAGAGAGACAAGCTTCTTCTGGGAGCCTTTTCCTTCTCCCAGCATGAGATTCTTGTGGGGGAAGGGGAGATCCCCCATTTCTTTGGGGCCCATTGTTTCAATACCCTCACAGTCAGACTGAGAGACACCAGTTTCTCTTTAGAATATCTTCATTTCAATATCATCCAGGACTAGGGGTACATCTTCCTGGCCCATGGTGTTTCATGCCCACATCCAAGCAAGCACTCGCACACATAAAATAAAGATAAATCCTGAGCCGTGTGGTGGTGGTGCACGCCTTTAATCCCAGCACTCAGGAGGCAGAGACAGGAGGATCTCTGTGAGTTCAAGGCTAGCCTGATCTACGGGAGTGAGTTCTGGGACAGCAACCAGCCAACCAACCAACCAACCAACCAACCAATAAGTAAATAAATCTTAAAAAAAAAAAAAAAAAAAAAAAAAAAAAAAACCCCAACAGCAACCAATTAGAACCCGTCACTTGCTGCTTGGCTGCTCAGTTCCCTCATCTGTCCTCTGACCTGGCCTTCCTCCTGCTGGGCAGCCCTTAGTAGGACCCTCCCTCCTGTAGTACTTTGCATTCTGGTGTTGTCCTGTACTCAAGGACACTCGGGCTGTCACTGTTGTCAAGGACTCAGTGGACCACTGGGGGCCTTGGCATCACCAGCCGCTTTGTACAACTGTCCTGCATTGGACGACTGAGATACAGGAGGGGCTGAGCACAAGGTCCCCATGAGGAGGGAGCACCGTGATCTGCAGCACTGTGATCTGTAGAGCCCAGGCCTTGGGTCTTGGCCTCCCTTGTTGTGTGGGAGCACTTATTGCTCTGAACTTAGAGGAGTCAGGCCAGTGGGAGGGGATGTATAAGACAAGATTCCTGGTTCACAGGCCTCTCTGAAGAGGGCAGCAGTCTAAAAGCGGCACTTTGCACTGCAATCCAATTTCTTCACCATCTCTCCAGTCTCTGCTATGTTGCTGGGGCAAGTCATCTCCCCCTCAGAGTCTTGGGGTTCTCATTCGTGAAGTGGGAACAGCTGGCAGTGCCCCCCTCAAGCCTATGGAAGTCCAGGTCTTCGGGGAAAGTTCACCAGCGTGGATCAGTTAAGCAACTCTGATAGGGACACACTCTGGCCAGCATCAGCCACTGCTCCCAAATCCTTCCTAGCTAATGCCTTTGGATGTGGACTGAGGAGTCTTCCAGCTGATGTCTATTGAGACACCCATGGCAGGGAGGTGGGGCCTCCCTAAATTTCCGGGGCAGTAGGGTCCCAAGGGCGGTGAAGGAGGGTTCACTGACTTGATTTGGGGGGAGGGCTGGGCTGTCCTAGAGAAACAGCAGGCATGCTTAGAGGAGCTTCCGAGCCTGGAGGAGTGAGAGTCATTATAATGGAGATAAAGGTAACAGCTTAAAGAAATTCCTTTGAAAGTGGCCATTGGGAGGTCTGGGACTGATGGCAGCCTCACCTCTGTCCCGGCTAACACTCAGAGGGCTGGACCTAGGAGTCACAGTCTTCCAGGGCTTCAGGGCACCCACGCTCCAGAAGCCAGTGTATCCCCACCCCACCCTTGCAGCCAGGCTACAGGCTCTCTTTGATCTACGGGGCACTCTAGCTTCTATGCTGCCCTAGGAACACAGGGGAGCCCACAGGGGTCTTGGGTTGGGAACCTTCCCAACCAAATAGCTCCCCTCCAGGTAGGTGTGCAAAGCCCCAATCCACCTTGCTGGCAGCTGGGTGGATCCCCAGAAGCCCTGGCACCCGGGAGGCAGACGGAGAGGTGAATATGCGTTTATCCCAACACAAGTAGTGACCTGCTGGGGTGGGGTGGGGGCCCCAGGAAATATTTGGGATGACTTGGAGCCGGCTGGCCCTTTAAGGCTCCTGTAACAAGACACCTCCCCAACGGGACAAGAGCTGGAGCTGGGGCTTCCACCTTAGCCCTTGTTTCTCCCCTCCCTCCTCCCCTTCCTTGCCAGGCCCAGTTCAATTTGCTCAGCAGCGCCATGGACCAGATGGGCAGCCGCGCGGCCCCGGCCAGCCCCTACACCCCAGAGCACACCGCCAGCGCGCCCACACATTCGCCCTACGCACAGCCCAGCTCTACTTTTGACACCATGTCTCCAGCGCCTGTCATCCCTTCCAACACTGACTACCCTGGCCCCCACCACTTTGAGGTCACCTTCCAGCAGTCCAGCACAGCCAAGTCAGCCACCTGGACGGTGAGTAGCTGTTTTGTCAGTGGGCATCTGGAAGGAGGGCGATGGGGAGAATAACCCAGTCCTGGCACTGAGGTCTGTCTGAGCACACATGCTGTCCACATGGGGTTCCCACCTGGCCAGAGCCAGGAGGAGCATCAAGCAGGAGGCGGGTCCTGGGGCTGGGCAGTGTGGGTGTGCCCACCCCTCGGACGGACGTGTGGCCAGTCAGCCAGCCTCCTGTGGGTCTGGAAATGTCGGGAGTGTTGCAATCAGTGAGGTCCACAGGGCAGGGAGAATGGCTGGCTTTTTTTATGCTCAGTGCCTTGAAATCAGTTCTGAGTGGAGTCCTGTGCCTCTGCTGAGTCTTAGGGGTCCACAGGAACCCTTGGGGGCTGCCTCCTCCAGGTGATGTGGTCACTTGCTGGTTGTGGATTTGGGCTTTGCTCTCATTTCTCTGCGTTGGCTTGGGACCGGCTCTCCAGGGGTGTAAGCACAGTGCCTGGAGCTCTGGTCCTCTCTCTGGTGCCTCTAGAACAGTCTGGCTTGTGGCTGGGAATTAGATGACATTGACAAAACACCCCCTGCAACTTGCTGGGAGTTGGGTAGCCAGCTAAGCGCTTTGACTTGCCCAAGTGGAGTCTGTTCTTGTCCCCATTGCACAACCAGGGAGACTGAGGTGTGAGAAGGTAAAGCAGCCTGCTCAGGGTTATGCATCTAGTCAGCAGATGCTGGGCTTGGGACACAGTGGTCACTGCCACCTGCCTTCTTAACCTCCGAGCACCCAGGCTGTCTCAGGGAGTAAGGGCAGCAGGAAGAGCAGAGTGAGAACTCCGGGATGCTATCTAGATGTGCAGGGCATACGGGGCATTGGGCGGGAAGGGCAGCCCCAGGGTCTTCCAGCTGGGGCAGTAAGTGGTGCACTGAGGGATACTGGGTCATTCACTGAGCACCTTCTTCATCATCCACCCTCTAGGGAACAGCTGGAGCTGGGGCTGGGGCAGTCTCTGCAGTGCAAGCTCGGTTCCACCTCCTCTGCTAAACGGGGGCCAGCCCCCTTCCAGGTCTATGGCTTTCACATTCACTCTGGAGACTGAAGAGCTGGACAGAGCCAGGCCCCATAAGCTGGAAGATCAGTCTAGTTGGCCTGGGTCTGGTCTCAGGCCTTGATCTCCTGTGGTCTCTTTTGGCCACTGTTTATGGTGGGCTTCCCAGCTTCTGGCCTGTGGTTAAGTGATGGCTGAGCCCAACTGTAGGAGCTCTGATGGGCTCCCAGGGGCCAAGAGGGTCATCCCGAGTTACTCTAGGTCCATAGGCTCCATTCTCCCCAGCCACAAACTATTGCAGACCAAGGGGTGGCGATGAGGCTCTGAATGAGAGGGCACTGGTATAGCACACAGCTCTTACTCCTGTAAGATGAGCATAGAGACGAGGGAGCCATCCAACATGGCCTCCTGAAGTTGGTCTCCTTCTGTAGCTGGGGGAGGTGGACCCTAGACTCTTCCTCCACTGCAGCTGAGTGACCTGGGGTCAGGTCAGGAAGCCCAGGAGACACCTGGGTAACTCCAGTGACACGAGGCATTCTATACTGCGCCTCTGCTTTCAAATGCATTCCCTAAGTCCATCTTCCCTTCTTAGGGTGAGGCAGGGTCCCAATCTGTCAAGAAGGTCTGGTGGTGTCTGGAGGAAGTCCACCAAATCCTGGGAATGATGCAGCTTGCGGGATTGCCTCTCTTCATCTTATTTGCCTGAGGATGTTGGTGGGGTCAGTCTCTGCCATGTTGAGGGTTCAGGGTGCCTCAGACGGTCAGCACCAGTCTTTGAGAGGGGCAAGCACTGCCAACTCTGCTGGCTTCCTCCTTCCACTTGGGGCCTCTGCAACTCCTTCTGAGGTGTTTGGCATCAAGTCTCCCATAATGGTTTGTTTCCTGCTGCCCTGTTCTAACTGTTCTCATGGGGTGGTCTGCTCAGACCAGAGACAGCTCTGGCTGGCCAGACATACCAGGGAGCACTGAAGGCTTGACCCTCCCAACCCAACCTTCACCCAATGCCAGGGCAGCAGAGCTGAGCTGTCAGGCAAGAGGATGCTATTTCCTGCCCCCTCCCAGCCCTGCCACACAGGGGGTGGAGGTGGGACCAACATTGATAATGAGATTTTTGGCACCTCGGCAATCTGGGAGCAGACACCCAAGGGCTTTTCTCAATGCCTAGGGAAGGGGCTGGCAGCAGCTGCTCTCAGTCTTGGGGGTCCAGCTGTGTGGGTGCTGCCCAGACTTGCCACCTAGGCTTCTGCACCTAGGCCCCTGCCACACCGCTGGCTGGTAACTGATAGATAATTCATATTTTTCTCAAGTACAATTCCATATTGACTTCTGCCTTCATTCCTCTCGGATTGGCAAAAACACCCTCACTGGCCTCCAAGTGACCACAGCTGTTAATGGGGCCTTTGGCCTCAGTGTTGCTGAAGCCACTTTGGCCTTTTCAGCCCAGAGGATCTGCTTGCTCTAATCAGTTTCCTGCTGTCTGAAAATCTGCTTGTGTCGTGAGGCATCTGGGCCCTCAGTTCATGGCCCTGAATGAACGTATACACAGACGTATACATGTACACAGGGTCCCATAGGTGTGGACACCTGATGTACACAGGTACACAGATGTGTGTAGAGCATGCACATATATCTATGAGCACACAAGGATGTAAACATACATGTGCTCAGGGACCTATATATGCAGATACACAGATGCATACACATATGCCAGTAAGCACACAGGCATGCCAGCAAATGTGGATGAGCACGTGAGGATACAAGCTAGTAACACAAGCTAGTAACACATGCTAGTAACACAAGCTAGTAACACATGCTAGTAACACAAGCTAGTAACACATGCTAGTAACACAAGCTAGTAACACATGCTAGTAACACAAGCTAGTAACACATGCTAGTAACACAAGCTAGTAACACATGCTAGTAACTCATGCTAGTAACACATGCTAGTAGTCTCCCTGGTTGCTGCCTTGGGTTCTGACAGTCCCTGTCCTCAGAAAAGGCTAAGCAGCAGGTGGGTGTGAGGTTGTGGGCAGCTGGTCTCAGGAGTCCCTCAGCAGAAGAGGAATTGGGACAAGTTCCCTACACATCTCAACAGCGTGATGAGATGGGTGTCCAGCTGCTGTCCAGCCCCAGGGAAGCCCCTGCATACTGACTTTGTCTTGCTGAGAGAGGCGGCTGTCTTCAATTTTGGAGACATTCAGAGGCAGAGCTCTGCCGTTAGGCAAGAGGGTCTGTGTGGATGGTAACCCTGGCCTGGTAGAACCACAGCAGAAGGCAGCTAGAGAGGAGGCCAACAGTGAGGGCATGTTCATGGATGGCTTTGACTGGCCTGTGAACATCATGGATGAATGGATGGCTTGGACATGGCCCCAGATAACCTTCAGCTGCTCTCAGCCCCCGCCTGGGTTTTTGTTTGTGTGTGTGTGTGTGTGTGTGTGTGTGTGTATGTGTGTGTCTGTGTGTCTGTGTGTCTGTGTGTCTGTGTGTCTGTCTGTTTCTGTGTGTGTCTGTGTGTGTGTGTCTGTCTGTCTCTGTGTGTGTCTGTGTGTGTGTGTCTGTGTGTCTGTCTCTGTGTCTATCCGTGTGTGTGTCTGTCTGTCTGCCTGCCTGTCTCTCCTGAGAGAGGCTGGCTACCCACCCACCCACCCAACAGCCCCTGGCGGGAAGCACAAAGCCTCTGTGAGGGATTCCTGGGGAGGACGGGGCTGAGTCAACACTAATGGATTTGGAGCAAACTTTCCAGCCCCTCGGAGGTTTGCAAAGCAGAAGAATAGAGGAGGTGTCCCAACATGATTGTGGTATCAATTGCGTTATCCTAAAAGTTTATGGAATGCATAAATGGAATTAATACCTTTTACTGGCACCGGGAGCAATTATGTATATTTAAAGCCTAGAGTAGAGTTCTAACAATGTTTATTGTGGAGATGAAACGTGAATTATTAGGGGAAACAAGAGCACTTAGAGAGGAATTACAGCAATTGCTCATATTGTGTGTAGCTTTGCAGGAGAAGACGGGCTCCCAGCAGGCTGGCCCGGGGTCTGTGCTGGGTACTTGCGGCACAGCTGAGCCTTTGCTCTCTCATCCACTGGTGAGAACCTTTGGTTCCCAGTGAGCACAGAATCTAGCCCAGAGACTGTGAATGCCTGTGTCCAAGTGCGGCTAGACACTGGCAGTCTGGTCCCTGTGTCTAAGGATGCTCCCCACCTGAGTGGTCAAACTCCATACCTGTTCTAGACAGGGCACCTTGTGGGATAGGACTCTATCCCAAGGGGCTATGGGGGACTGAGTTCTGATTTATATATTGCGTAGAACCATCCATTTTTTGGAGACTCGGCTGTGGTTCCTGGTTCACTTCCCTGTTTTCTCCACTCAGGCAAGCTGGTGTGACCCTGGAAGGCCCAGAGCTGACAATTCCATAGACTCTCTCATATCAGCTTATGCCACACTGAGGAGAACTTTGCAGGAGAGAGACCTGCTCTGACTGGGGTTGGGGAAGACGCTCTATTTCCGCTGCTCTGCGCAGCTGATACAGGCATGGCATCTCAGGACCCCCGGTGCCATCCCCTCAGCCTGTGGTAGATGCACGTACCTCCTTTCCCACTTTACAGATGACAGACTCAGAGGGCTTCCAGGGCAGGCCACACATAGACAAAGGGCAGAGATAGGATTGGGACCCAGTGGTACATTCCCGGAGCCTGTGGGACTCTCTCTGCCTTCCCACGGCTCCAAGGGGTGGTTCTGAGCCCTTAGGAGCTCTGTGGGCAATAGTAAGGAAGTTTTGACTCTCCAAGGCCCACCTGCTTGCCTTGAAGAAGCAAGCTTGGCTTGTTCCTTAGCACCCAGAGAGCTTCTGTGGCCACTCGTGCCAGCAGAGAGGCACATTATCTGGCCACTGTCCTCCCTGAGTAGATTCTTCAATGCTTTCCAATCAGAAGGTTCTTGGGCTGACCGATCTCCAAGGTGAGTAAGCCTGCCAG